GGGGGGGTTAAGAAAATAACATTGGCATCTGTTGTATGTCAAGTTCAAGTGTTCAACTTAAAACCCAATTGTAGCTAACACAGAAGAAATAAACTTCAATGCAGACACACAATTTAGTATACAGGAGGACAAATTTCATGAAGAAAATATGTTCACAAATGATGATGTTTTCATAAGAGAAATAAACAAGGAAGATGCATACATTAACATCAAGAAGATTGCAGACATGCCCCATCTCATCAGCTACATTAGGAAGATCTGGAATAAATCTCTCTTCACCATCAACAATGAACCTGTAATGATATATACCTGGCGGTAGGACTACAAGAATTGAGTGATCCTTGCCAGCTCGCTGCAATGCCTTCCTGCAAGTAAAATAAAATTTAATGGTACTAATCTCATTGAAGAAATTTTACAGTTAAGATAACTTTATAGGTCAAATACAATCCAGCTATTGTTACTGAAAAAAAAAAAAAATAGTTAAACTTTACCTAGATGCCCAGTTATCCCAAGATCCTTCCACAGTCACATTGTTACCACCATAGTTCCAAGTAATCATGACAGGGATTCCTTGCTCAGGAGGTTGATTAACAACACCATGAGACTCATTCTGCCACATTTGATTGAGAAAAGGAGGGCCATTACCTCTTTGTAATGGAGCTAGAGGAACCTGAAAATCACAACAAAATCCTATATTTTTTAGTAATGCCAAGTAGCCACTGGTGACACTTACATACTTATTTCCTAACCCAGAAAAAAAAATCCTAACTTAAAGTAATTGAAATTTCAGTTAGGCATGTGCATCAGCATCGTGAATTGTAAAGAGGTTTCAGAATCTATTTCCCATTTCCACGGGAAACAGCAAAGTCCACAAGCACAGCAGTGCACAAATATGGTTGCGGCACTTGTGCACTACGATACATCCCATGTAGTATGTATAATCACAAAAATTTACAATAAAGAAAATATAATCACACAACTCAAGTTTATCATCAACAAGTATAACATGATTTCACACAATGCCTCTCGGATCAAACTCTATTAAATATTAATATCAAACAAATTATCTAGTAACTGCGTTATTTAATGGCATACAGTAATATTCGCTTTTTCAAATCTCTATGCAAAAACAGGCAAATTTATGACTTCAAAACCTTTTTTTTCAACAAAAAGGAAAGATAGAAAGTGCAGCTTGTTTTGATTATTAAGCACATCAGTACATGTATGTTTCAAGCCATTCTTTTACAAACCAAAACTGTTATAGCAGGATCAATGCTGCTATTATGAAAATTCCAGATATAAATTTAATAATTTATATTGCATATATAAAAAAATGCTAAAAAGAAAGCCATAATTAAATGCATATTCATAACTAATAATTAAAAGTCACAATTTTATGGCAAACATAGAAGTTACTTAGTTACTAACAAGAGTCGAGTAATGTATAAGAAAAAAGAAAGTACAGCAAGAAAGGGCAACTTAAGGTTAACTATCTGAGCACAACAGTGAAAGAAAGAATATAAAACAAAATATAGACCCCTCTTTGCTGTGAACAGAATAGATAACCAAAGGATGTGAACAGAGAGACATAACAGAATGGATAGCCAGAGATCCACATACTGTGGGTTGGCCAAAAACTCCAACGTAGTGCCATAGGTTGGCTGGAAATGCAACTGAGAGCTCTGGGTCAAATGGTTTGGGTTGAAGCGGGAAGAGACCAGTGTCATTTAGCTTTCAAAAGGGTGAGAATGGAAAAATAGGGTCTGATGAAATAAAAAAGAATCGCGGAGATTTTAAGAACCAAATGACATCTAAAAAATGGGGTTTCTGGTCTCTGATGCAATAGCAGTTGCAACTGCAATTCATGCCGCTCCAGGCATGACAGTGAATTACGATGCGACAGGGTTCCACAGAGTGGCCCACAGCAGTGATGCCACTATAGTGCACAATTGACCACTATGTTTAATAGTAACAATAACTATGAGACGTTACTAAAATAGGAATGGCCTTTAATTTTCCTGCATTTATAGAAAAATATAATCAAAGCTTCTGTTATTGTTGTTAGCAAGGGCAAATAGCTATGGTGAAAAAGTGTCATCAATCACTCTGGATTTTGCCTAGTTGATATGGTACAAGATATTTTATAAAAGTAAAACACCTAACTGGTTTGAGAGGGGGTAGTCATCTTGGTTCCAGATATGCAAGTAGTTAAAATAAACAACAATCACATTAATTGAACTGAATCATGTGGAAGTAAATAAATATAAATGTCATAATTTGGACCTAACCAAGGTTGTTTGAAGGCACAGAATGATAAGAATAAGAAAATGCTATGAGGGAGACAACTCCTTCAAGATGAAAACTGTTTTGGAAAACAATTTCCACCATGGAAGATACAAAGTCATTTTCCACATATTGACAGGTTCTTTTTTACTGACTAGGAAATGATTTTCTGCTGATCACAGCCTCATAAACCTGAAAATGTGCAAAATTTTTCACAAGATTATACTCTACTTGATATAGGAAGTGAAAATCTTCAGATGCAAGACACAAATCAACACACACACATTAGCACTCCTGGGAATAACCTGCCCATATATAGAAGGTAAAAAATAGATTCTCAAATATCCATGTTAAATTAAATTATGCACATTCATTCACCTTAAAAGAACTTGAGGACAACTGAAGGATGACCACTTTATTAAACAAAAATTCAGCAAACAAATCAGATTCTTTTGAAACATTGGAAAAGAAAACACAAAATTATCTAAGCATTGAAAGTATGACATCCAAAATTCACAGAATGCACAAATAGTGAATTGACAGCAAGTAATACAAAATAAACCAACATATTGAGTATTGTCTTTTAAGCTATGCTGGACATGAAAATATATCAACTCTACATGAAAGATGTAACATGACCATCGAATATAACTTTTCTCTCCAGGTTCTCCACACATCAACAACAAAACAAAACAAAAAAAGGACATTCAGAACAGATGGGAATAAAGGAAAGAAACGGCAAATATTTACCAGATTCATGGGATCTATATAACATTGGATAAGAGGGAATAGAAACACAGAAAAATATTGATTGTATATAGTATAATATTATAATCTTAGTAACATAATCTTCTTGTTGTATCTGTTAATTTTTTTTAAATACATCCTCGAGAATTAATTACAATATTCAAAATTATTGCACCACTGTTGGCAGACAGTATCATTTACCTTATTGAAATATTTCACTTGCCATTTCTCAGATGGAGAAATGTCAAGGAATGCAAGTAACGGAGGACAGGCAATAACAAACTTGACATAAAACAAAATTCATACCATTACACCAATAAAACTGATTCTGTTGAAACCTATATCTCAGTTACGTTCCAGACAGCGAATTTCACACTCAGTCCATAGGACACTGTTGCATGGAATTTCCAAATCAGAGAAGATCAGACGGTATCATTTATCCAAATTGCAATATTTCACATGTTTCTCAAAAGGAGAAATGTCAAGGAATGCAGGTAAGCGAGGACAGGCATCAACAAATTTGACATAAAACAAAATTCATACCGTTAGGACACTGTTGCATACAATTTCCATATCAGACAAGATCGGGCAGTATCATTATCATTTATCCATATTGCAACATTTCACGTGCTGTTTCTCAAATGGAAAAATGTCAACGAAAGCGAGTAACCAAGGACAGGCAGCACAAAATTTGACATAAAACAAAATTCATACCGTTACACCAACAAAACTGATTCCGTTAAACATATATCTCAGTCACATTCCAGACAACAAATTTCACACACTCAATCCATAGGACACTGTTGCATGCAATTTCCAAATCAGACAAAATTAACTGGTTGACCTGAGACTAGAACTACGAATGTTTATCTCCAATTAGTCTAACTACCCAATCGCAACCATCCACAACTTGCAAGTTTATCCCATAAAACAATTAGGTGGGACAACTTAAACTTAGATGGAGTCACGCATAGCAGTTGTGTGAACTGCAAAGTTGAGTATCGCAAAAGTATAAATCCAGTAAAATGTTTTCAACTCTCATGGACAAAAATGAGGTTGCACCATTGCAAAGAATATAAAAATGGTGAGGTAACTCTCCTAAACAGAGAGATGCAAGTATGTAACAGTTCTGAAAAGCACAAACAGTTTACAGCAGTAATAGCCAAGATCCACATCATTCCACCGTCCATGCCCCTCCCTAACAAGTTTTCAACATTCAAACCATAGCCACTCAATCAACACCAGCCATATTCCTGTTAGTCACTGTCATGGTTACTGCGTGTTGAACATATATTTCTGTGAATTGTAGCTTCCACGTTATTCTACAATTTGACGTAAATTTTACATCCATAAAATACATTCAAACACACTGTTTTTCAATAAGAATCACGTCCATGACGAAGCATGCACGAAAGAACCAATCCATCAACGACATAAATACCAGATCCGTCCATCAACACATTTCGTTTCAACTTCGCCGGCGAAAAAAAAAAACTCAGCAAACAATCCACGGTTTCGACAAAACTAACCCTACACCGGCACCTAATCTCTCGCTCCGTGTCTCTCATGCACCGGACATTAGTTAGCATGAACCTCACCACCGAACACGGAAGAGCAAAATCGACGAAAAACCTAGTTGACCGAACAAAACCGAAAATCCGCCCTAGCTAACGAAATTCAATTCAACAACAACGAATACACGTGAGGACGCTACAATGCAGAAAAATCGAAGCGGAAGTAATAGAGACAGAGAGAGGAAGCTGCGGAGAGAACCTGAGGACCGAAGAGGATCGGCGATCTGGAGCGGCGAGGACTCTGCGGCGGGCTATTGGCCATCGAATCGGAGGAGAAGGCGCGGACCGGAGGCCGAGAGTCCGGCGCGTGAGGCACACGGGCGGCGGAATCGGCGGCGGCGGGATCGACGGCGGGGGAAATGGATCCGTCTTCTCTTCCGTTGGCGTTTCCCATGCGATTTGCGGAAGCAAGCGAGGGAGGGAAACGGTGCGGTTGCGGTTACGGTTACGGTTGCGTAGTCGTCGTTTTGCGAGAGCAATGCAATGCAATGCTCTGGTCGTGAATTGAGGTAACGAGTGAGAGTAGAGAGGGAGGATAATGACTAATGAGAAGAAGGAGAAGGAGAAGAGAAGAAATAGAAACGGTACCGTCGTTCTTGTTATTTGTTCTTATCAACTTCTTCTGTCTGAGTCTGATCTGACGCAATGTTCTGTTTGGACTTTGGTGAGCCAGAAATTAAGAATTAAAGCATAATTAAATAAATCAGAGAAAACCATAATAAACGTTTTATTTATTTTTCCTCCACTCTCTCTCTCTCCTCGCGTTCCTTTCCACGCTCCCTCTGCAACACAAGTACAAACTCGCGCTTATCCTCTTCTTACCTCTCGCGCCTCCTATTCAATAATAAGTTTTATATTCATTTTTTAATGAAGTATTAAATAATAAGTGTTATATAAAGTTTATTATATAAAATACTATTTCACATAAACAATATTTTTCAATGTAGACTACTAAATTTGTTTTACACATCATGGTAACATTTTTAACAACCTTTTCATCATTATTTAATATATTAAATATTACTGTATTTATACAATTATATAAATAAGATTTTATTATTTTTGTTTTTTACTTTTATTTAAGACCATTTTACCTTTTATTAACTATAATTTATTTCACGTTATTTATATATTGTAACTTTTATTATATATTTTTATTTTTAAAATAAAATTTATAAATGTACAAGTATATATTTTTCACTGGTATTTAAAAAATAAGTGAAGTGAGGTTAGAGATCAAAGTCAAACTTACCAACTTACAACAATCTATCCTGCCCAACTTGGCAATCAAACAAGATAGTTTGTCTTATTTGAACACGTTATTTTTGTTTTTAAACATGTAACATGTTCGGAACTTAAGTGTTACATACTAATATATAATCATGTTAAACTGCTAAATCGTAATATTGTAAAAAAAAAATTATTTTTACAAAAGTAAAAAAATGCAAATCTATAGTTATATAGTATGTCTTTGTGCTGGTATAAATTGTTAGAGTGAGCTTATAATTTTGCATGTTCTAAAGAATGTATTTGTTTGAAAGTTAAAAAAAATAGTTATAAAGTCAACTGGGAAATGTTATATTTTTAATGTATGTATTAAAGTTTTAATTTAAAAAAAAATTATTGTGCTAAAAAATAAATAATAATATCATTTATTTTATCTTTATTGTTATTAATATTGTAAATTTCATAATTGTTTGATTATTTTTATTTATCAAAAGATTATATGTGTTTTGTTGTTTAATTGTTAAAAAACTTTAAAGATCGATGAATTATTATGAGTTTAGTTGGTTAAGAGTTGGTTTGATTTGAGGATAAAATTAAATAAATATAGAAAAAGGTATATAAGATTTTTTAAAAAACGTGGACTTCATAAGTTATTTTTCACAATAAATTTAGAAAAAAGTTAGAGAAATAAACTCTAGAGCCAAAAAAACTTATTTCTTTCGGTTGATTTTGTAGAGAGTGTAGATCCATTTCCATAGTTAGTTTGAGCAGTTGTGTTGAGATTCAAAGTTTTTTGAGCTAATAATTAGTAGAAGTCATCATACGAAAAGTTCAACATTCTCGAGTTCTTCCTTTTCTCCTTTTTTGAAAGATCTGAGGTAATGGAAGCTTATTTGTGTGATTACAGTAAGTTACATATGTTGATTGTAGTATGAAACCATTTGATTATGGTTGTGATGTTAATTGAGTCGAAGAGTATCTTTTTTTCTTTATAGTTTTTTAAGGTTTGGGAGAAGAATTGTTGAATTGTGAATTTTTATGAGTTGCATGCGAAATTTGTTGCTTTACTTGAGTTACTTGTGGTGTATACTTGTTTTATGGGTTGCATGCTAGTTTGTGGTTAATTTTCATGTGTTTGGAGCCAATTTGCGATTTTACTAAGTGTAAAAATTACTATCGCGTTGAACGCAATTTCATGACACCAAATGTGAATACATGTTAAATGATCTTTGTCCCACTAGCGGTAAGCATGAAATAGGTAGAGTTGGGCATGAGTTAGAGGTAAGTTCTCTGACTTGATTATATTGGATGTAGGTAAAGGGTTGTCAAACATGATTTTAAACATATTTTTTTGTGTTTTGTACCATTATTGGAGTGACTTTTACACTTTTTTTAAGAAAAATCTCAAACCATTTATCTATATCTATTTACATCTAAGAGGTTTTGTGTTCACAAAATATTTAGCTGGTTAAAAACTAACTGATACATTTAAATAAATTTAAAAGCGCATAAACATTTTTAAATATAATATAAAAAAATCATAATTGAATAATTTATTTATTCTAACAAGAAAAAATTATTCAAATAAGAAAATTTTGTATTCAAATAAAATTTTTGAAATCAAATTCACATATTCGAATAGTATTTTTTGATGGTTTGAAACTACTAATATATATTTTAAAAAAATTAAAAATGACTGACGGTTTTTATCATCCTAAATATATATAAAAAAAGTAATTAATGTATCAAACTAACAAAATTATTTATCTTTTACTATTTTTTTCCCTCTTCCTTATTTCTTCTGTATCTCTCTTGCAACAAATAGACGTTAAAAAAAACAAGTCGGAGACTCTGGCATGGTTGTTAACTAGATAACATAATCAATTGTTTAGAATCACAAGTGGGGTTTCTTTTAATGTCAAGTTATGCTTTATTATCAAATTTTTAAATGAATAGCTGACAAAATGTCAGATTTGCATGGTGAAACGGCTTACAATGTGAATTTTAAATCACACAAAGAGGATTTGCTCAAACAAAGATGTGCATTCAGTATCTCTCTCACGTGAAGGAATATTATTTTCTCCACCCAAGTACCCATAGGTTCTTTTCATCATTTTATATTAATTATTAAACAAACATTAATTTATTTAATTACCCTTTAAGAATAAAAATATATAGTTAATAATTTAAAAAGAAAAGACTAAACTAATAAATACAAATCATGGTCAATAACTTGAATTTAACTATTTTTGTCTTCCCCTTATATATATCATAGTACAACATGGAAATAGAAAAGTGAAGGTTTAATGGTTTGCACCTAATTTTCTTTCCTTTCTGTAATCTCTCTTCATTCTTTATTTTAATTCTTTGTCTTCCCCATCTCCCAAAAATCCAAAGACTCAAAGGTGAAGATTCAAATAATCAAACAAATGAAAGATGATTCCAAATCGATCACCATCACACATTGGACAAATAAAGTTTCACAATTATGAGAGAGACCCTTATGCTAAAATTGACTCCTTACCAAATGGCTTTATTGAATAAATACACCATGCCCTATGAAAAAAAATATCAATATTAATTTGAATCACAGAGGCACCAGATTCATGGGATGAAGACAGATTTTTAAGACGTTTTACCGTGATTTGTCTGCATTTCAAAGGGTTGATAGGAACAATTTGTGATCAAGAACAAGAGCAACTGTGAAAGAGAATGAGTTGATTATTGCTTTAAATTCTCAAATTATTGTTTTTTTTTTTACATCGACTTCTCCTTTATATTAAAGAAATACATTTACCCTTTTTGTATGCATTTCTATTAGTCCCTTTCATATTTGGCTTGTGTGATGAAAAATAAGAAACATTATATTTTAAAATTTTAAAATAAAATTTGTTACATTTAAATAATTAATTTCAGCTCAAAGGTAATATTAGTATACTATATTTACACATGGTAATCGTCAAATCCAATAAAGTTATATATACTACTTGTTTATCTTATGTAGATTGGTCAAAATGGATTATTTGACCCGGCAGATCAAATATGGTAAGTGGATAAATATGGATAAACTAACCTACCATTTTATTTTATCTAAATATATATGACTTTTAAAAATTAAAAAATCAGACTAAATATTTTTTTTATATAGAAATAAGGAAATTTTAATAATTATAGTTTTGTGTAAATATTTTAAAGCATAAACTTTAATTAGTTTCATTCTTGAAATATTTTTTCCCCTTGTATGATTCACAATGTTTAAATATCCAAAATCATGTTAAGTAATGTAGGTCTCTTAAATACTAAAAAACAATATATATTTAAATTTGTTCCTAAAATTTTGTTAAAATACATCATCTTAGAAACTAAACTAATAAAATACATCAACTTATTGAAAATATCCGAATTAGTGGTGTATTATACTTTAACATGCTTTCATTAAAAAGGGTTGAGACCAGAGATACAAAAGAACTAAAGCCAGCTGTACATGAAGTTATAAACATGGATTTCAGAAGCATAGCCATATATATACTCTGAATGTTATGATACAATCTTCTATGAAGATGTTAGATGCACCATAGCAGAGCCATCTTCAATTGGTGCATCATTTCCAACATTACCAATTGACTTCATCTGCCTCTAACCAGCATCTGAACCATCACCAATACCAGCTTCACTTGTTGGACCATTAATATTTAATAGTAGCAATCAAAAAATACTCACCAACAAAATTTCAACTATTGGCCTATGCAATGTCAAAATGGACTACATGGGGTTTAATTTTATGGGAAAAAAAACTCTTTATTTATATGAAACTGTTTTTAAACACCAAATATATTATTAAAACAGATAAATAAATTTTAAATTGTGTTAGGAAAAAAATGGTTTGATTCGTATAGTGAATGATTCTTGGTATTTATCCGGTGATTAAAAAAAATACTAGAGAGGACTGGTAAATAAAAAAAAAAAAAAAAAAATGAAGATGTTTTTGGCGCAAGAGGAAGAGAAAGAGAGACGCAGGAGTGGGCGCGTGGAGGAAAAGCGTACGTGGGAAGAAGGACACACGTGTGAGGGGACCTCTTGTTTGGTTTTGTCCAAAGTGCTATGATTGTCACGTGATGTACAAGAGATTCAGATAAGATTCTCTCTCCTCTCTCTCAGTGTGAGAAAATAAAGAAAAGAAAAGAAAAAAGCAATGCTCCCCAATTACCAAACTCCACTAACTAAATTAGAATTGGTACGACAAAAATAAGCTTATTAAAAGAGAAGCAAGTATCTTTCTTGAAAGCTTCTAAGTTGAAGCACAGTGTTAAGTGCCTCATGAGATATCAAAACTATTGAAAATAGTGACATTTTGTTATTTTATAGAATTTATAAAAAAAATATAATAAAAATATTTTTTTATAAAATAATTTATATAAGTATTAATATTTATAACTGTCAAAGTAGCCTTTGTAAAAAAATAATATTTGAAATT